TGATGAAGCCCAGGGGATTCTGGGAGAACTCCAGAGCGACGCCCAGGTACGGGAGAGGTCCCCTCTCTAGTGGGGGCTCACCTGGTCTTCTGTGGGAAGAGAGGCGGGTGTTTGTTTGTTTGTTTGTTTGTTTGTTTGTTTGTTTGTTTGTTTGTTTGTTTGTTTGATTGGTTGTTTGATTGGTTGTTTGTTTGTTTGTGTAGGACCTCCATTAGTGTGAATTTCACACTATTCTTTCTGGAGTCCGTAGTGAATCATTAGATAGTAGCAGTATTTGGACCATCGCACACCGGGGCATGCCCCTACTCTTTTTCGAAAGGGTATCCATGACGTGCTCTATCTAGAACCATGCTCGTGCACGATTCTGGATACTAGTAGTCCACGTGTACCCAAAACCGTGCCTGGGGCAAATCTACGTTCTTGGATACGCGGAGACTATCCAGAACTGTGCCTAACCCATACAGGCATGTGGGAAGGGGGTGTATTCTCAAGGTCAAAGTCAGACAACTTTAAGTATATTATAGTTCAAAGCTCATAAGGGTCGCCTTTCCACTACAGCGACCAGAAATTGGATTTGTGGGATATTTTGTTTTAAGGACAACAAAGCATGCAAAAACTGATAACAAAATTCGTTCTTTGTGAAATTCAAATGCTTGTGATCTTTGAAATGTTTAGCGATCGCTCGTAATCAGTGGGCTCAAGGTTCGCAGTCTCTAGTGGAAAGGGTATGTGTCCCTGAATGCCCTCAGTTTGCGATCGTTCGTACGACCGGACGACGTACTTGTGACCGGGCCCTAACTAAAGGGGGCCGCATGCCCTTTTCCGTAAAGCGTAATCGGCTGTTTTAATATTCTACGTAGGGCGTAGGCGGACCGCTCTAATTCAGCGTAATTGGCGCTCTTTGTAGAGCGTAATTCGCCGTTTTATTTTACGTAATGCGCTGTACACAGCCACTTGGAATTTAACGTAAAGCGTAATCGGGAGGTTTCCTGAATTCAGCGTAATACGTAGCCAGCTCTCCAAATTTAGCGTAGAGCGTTGTCGGGACCCCCCACCCCAACCCCCCAACCCCCATGTAGGCCCTAACTAAACTCCGTCCCATTAGAATTCCCCACGCGTGTACCACGCACCAACGACCACTAATGACCATGGCAGGGCACCATGCAGTCCTGAATACATCGTCCTGTAGACTGTATCTGTATAACAGCCCTCAATTCTCAATTTTCAAAATGTCAACATTGCAGACATACATGAAAGTTCATCTGATTTGGTAAAATACAAGACGAAAATTAAACTGTTCTCCAACGTACTCAAAAACGAAAATGACCCACCACAGCACTTGGGTCATAAAGCTGATGAAGACTGAGTGATTCAGTCGAAAATTGCTGGTGAGTCATTTTTGTTGCTGAGTTGGAGAACAGTATAATTTTTGTCACATTGCAGACATAGATTTTTTCAAAGTAGCTTAAATACTGATATAATCAGATGTGTAACAGGCCATTCAGTATAATATATAACCAGCAGCTAGTTATATATTATACTGAATGGCCTGTTACACCTAGCCTACAGGATACTGTATGTGCACTATATACACAGCCAACTGCACTGAGTGTTGTTAGAAGATACCTATAGCTAGTAAAGTATGATCATACTATACTAGGAAACAGATCGTTGTTAGATCTACATAATATAGATGTGAGAGAGTCCTTTCTACGTACCTTCGCCTGGTGGTGGCCAGTAGAAGCACGAACACTAAGACCACGGCCACACAAACGGCGAGCAGTACGGCCATCATCTTGCCTATGCAGGTTTCCAGATGGTCTATGTTAGCTAGCGCAGTCACTGCGGCCTTTGGACTTTACACTTTATTGTTTTTATTTATTGAGCTCTCTCCCTCCCCCAGCAATTCACCGCCGCTCTAGCCGCCAGTAGAAGCTACTCATTAGCGACACAAGCACTTGAAGCAGGCTTGTGTCGTGTGCCAGACAGAACTCATGACACTAGCTAGTACTAATGATTGATATGCATATCACTCATCACTAGCGATAGCAATAAGAGGTTTGGGTTTGGGTATATTTTTGGTGTGTTTTTTAAAATCTTTTTTATTGTGGTATCGTTTGTGCCAAGAAAAGAAACGGAAGAAAAATTCCAGTGCAAAAATGAAACCCCAATTTAAAAAAGTCTAAAAACACGATAAAAATAACCCAAAACCCAAACCTCTGCTTGGAGAGTACTCTCTAGTCGCTAGTAGAAGCAAACGTTCAGAAGTCTACGCTACGCGCTAGGAGCCTATAATCTAGGCCCTGCATTACCGACAAAAGCACTTGAAGCAGGCTTGTGTCGTGTGCCAGACAGAACTCATGACACTAGAGCTAGTACTAATGATTGATATGCATATCACTGTCATCACTAGCAATAGCAATAAAATCGTGGGGAAACTTATAACTTTTATCAGATGAAAATAAAGCTAATACTAGAGAAGTAACATTTGCAAAGCAAATGCATAATGTTTACCTTCGGACATGGTCTGCCCTGTTAATTCTTTCTCAAACACATTCACATACATGTACTACTAGTATATGGTGACAGGAGCAGAGCAGACAATGTAATTGCAACATTATGAAACCCAACACCCGTCATCATGATGACAGACATCAACAAATCATGTCATTGGCCAGGTCAGAGGTTAGTGTTTGGAACAGAAGAGGAGGAAGAAACTGAGTAAAATTATGTTTTCCTTCGGTAAACATAATAAGCATTCATCCAACTGTTGTCAAATACATGGTTTGACATTTACGTAGCATTTTGTGCATGTGTGACCAACTTGAACCTTGGACAATGGCCTTAAGTGATCTTAAGTCATGAGGTGTCCAGGTGACATGACCTCAAAGTCCAATTCTGTAGGGTCGAGGCCGTGCCCTAACCTATGTGACTATGTCATCATCCTCACAACTGTAGTGTGGGCATGCTTAGCCTCCTGTGCAGGCCTCTGGGCGGGTGGGAGTTTTGATACTGCGTTTTGTAGAATTTTTAACGCGCTCTTTTACCAGCCATCTTAAGTTACAACCAGCCGCCCAGAGAAGATTTGTAACCGACACGGCAGAAGAACGTGTTAAAACTTGAAGTTTACAAAACGCAGTATCAAAACTCCCAATCGCCCGGAGGCCTGCACAGACTGCCAGTGCATACGGCGTATTCGGCCATCTTACATTTCTTACGTCGACCTTTCCTACCACATTTAAGGAACTGCATTTCTACTCGAGGCTAGCCTGTTGGTACTTTTGGTACTACTGGTAGAATAAAAACATTCAGAGACGAGAAGATACGTCGGTTAACGTTATAAATAATTATCATGGTCGTTCAGTGGACTTTGATTCTCCGTCTGTTTGCTACTGTTTGTGTACAGATAAGATAACTCGTACTGAGTCAACTCAATGCCTTATCAGTTGTTGTTTTTGTAACTGTTAATCAGGGCTTTAGCCAGCGCCCGTTTTACCGTCAATTGACGGTAATTTGTCCCGTCTGACGGTAAAAATTTTAGTCCTTACCGTCAACATTGACGGTCAAAAATCGTGGGTAAAGACATGGAAAAACCTAGCGAATTTGAATGAGCCACGGCGCGGCGTCTTTTCCAAACGCACGGCGGCGGGAAACCTGATTTCAAGGACCGTGCCGACGTCTGTTGACTTGGCTCTATTGTTCAATGTTGCTGTCTGTTAAAACAACATGTGCTAACGGCCACATAAGAATAAAATAAAACAATGGCTTGACTCAGACACACGCTGCTATTATAAACTGTACATGACAATACGATAAATAAACATGTGACAACGAACAAAGAAATATCAAACGTTTTTGAATAATATACTGTACTTGAATAATCATACTATCGCAAGAAAACGGAGATTGATCCACACAATGTGGCCTTATTTAATCTAAAACTTCGTCAGACCTCCTTCGCGCGAAGACTTGAGCGGCAGCATAAAGATTTCTGGAGGATCGCTGACACGCGAGTTTTTGCCGGCCACGTAACTCCCTCCGCGGCAAAATACCCTACGCCGTAGCGAAATCACGTCTCAGCGCTTCCCCAAGTCAACTTCATGGCCGCTAAAGTCCGCAAAGGAGCTGTAACTTCCTCATTTCGGTTGAGAAGCGAAGCTGACAAGTAAAATCATGTACATGTCGGCCATTTTGTTTGCTACCCGAAGTCTTCCGAACGCTCTAAATAAGGAAATCGTCGGAGATCTGAGCCACATCGCCCGCTGTCGGTCAGCGCTCGGGGCTGGCTCGGTGGAAATCGGAGGCTGTGACGTCATGAGTAGGTTCATTTGCATGGCCGCGGCTTGAATCGCGGCGGGATTTGAGCGGATCAAAACAAAGGGCATAGCGGATTGTTCATTGCGTGTTGTCTCCTTGTGAGAACTGTAGTTTTTTTTCATTCTGCAAAATTGCAGATTGTGTAGTTTTTTATTCTGCAATCTTGACGGGTATTTAGAACACCGAATGCATTAAGTGTGCGGGAGGGCGTGATGTCGATCACCGGATCGTGAAAGACATTCTTTAAAAGTAATCATTGACGGAATTTTTTTTTCGCGTTGACGGTATTTTTTTTTTTCGCGAATTGGGTTGACCTGGGGTTGACGGTAAAAAATTTCGAGCTGGCTAAAGCCCTGCTGTTAATATATAGTTACCCGTTAGTTCGTGCGAATTTTGAAAGTAGTCTCTCCATATCGAACTCATGATCATGCTGTAACGTTATAGGGGGAATGATTTTAGTCAGACGACAAGAGATAGGGTTTCAAGTTTCAAGCTTTTTCAAGGGAGAAAGGGGGAGAGGGGGGGAAGAATCTTTCTATGTTTCATTGTCGTCATTTTTACATCCTGAAAATTGCACTTAGAAGTACTTTTCATAGATGGCGCTGGTTAGCGGTCAGCGACAGTATGTCCTGTTATTCTGCACAAAATCGCAAGGTAGCGCTCTTTATTTACCTGTAGTAAAAAAGCAAGATGGCGAAGATTCCAGTCGTTTTGCAACTAGATACGGGAGAAGGAGATGGTAGAAAGCCGACGCAAAGGAAACTCATGAAGACAATACCAGACAACCCAGACGACGTTGTGTCGCTCCTGATCAACAACTTTCACCTGGACCCCTACACATGGATCGGCGTCAAAACCGAGACACAGGTAAACGTTAAACGTTGACTGCCCGGTACTGCATGGGTTGTCTTGCACTTAACACGCCCACAAAAAATTATTGAAGAAGAACTTTATTAAGCAACAGGTAGCGGATACATCGTATGTTGGTGATGCATAGTTGGTGATGCTGACACGTTATAGTAACAGTTCTAACGTTACTAACAACTAAGAATCTGTTCCACTTATAAACAGTGAATGAATGAATTTGATTGCATGACAACTGTACAGGGTACAATTAATGTAAGGTGGATAACAACGACATCAATAATTTTCAGGGACTAATCTAAATATGAAGTAGAAAGGTAACATTTGCAAAGAAAATGCATAATGTTTACCTTCGCATAATTTGGTCTGCTCTGTACGTACTCAAACAGTTAACACATATATATATATATGATGACAGGAGTCTAAATTTTAAATCCTTCCTGCTATAAAATTGCAACATGCAACATGATGTAACCATGGAGGTATGATGTAACCCAACACCAGTTAGTTACCATGGTGACAGACATCTGGTTCAGGTCGTCCACCTTATTAATTTGTTTGGAGAAGAAGAAACAGCAAAAACCAATACACAATTAATATAAGTATTCGCCGTTTTAATTCCACGTAATGCGTCATGGCCACTTGGAATTTATCGTAAAGCGTAATCGAGAAGTTTACGAATTCAGTGTAGAGCGTTGTCAGGACCCCCCTTGCAGGCCCTCTTTAAACTTATGTAATTCATGTGTTAAATGAGAGTGTCCTATGTAACATAATGTTACGTGTGTGAAGCAGAATGTACATGTATATGATTGTGTCCTATATTATTTAAATGTATGTGTGTGTGTGTGTGTGTGTGTGTGAATTTGAAATGAACAAAAACAACAATCTGTCATGACATGGTATCTGCTTGACTATGATCGCAACTATTGTAAATACTTTTAATAATTTGCTGTTTTTAACCGCTTGACTGTGATCGCAACCTATTGTAAATACCTTTAATAATTGCTGTTTTTAACTGTTTTGAATAATTGTCTTTTAATATCTGTGCCAACTGTTTTTGATTACCTGTGTAATGCGGCAGATCAATTCAGGGTCCTACAGGGACCCTGCTACTCTGTACTGTACAGTCTGAAAGAAATAAAGCAGTAATATTATTATTGTTATTAAATGTTATGTAACATTATTTTCCTGGCATGTTGTGTTCAGTCGGTGATCCTGATGCGGCTGGCAGAGCGAGGAATGGTACAGCTGGTGACCACTGCCATCACACAGACCAAGATTCTCAAGGAGGTAAACCAACATTCACATTTATCTGCTGGGTTACATGAACCCACTGCTGTGAAAAACTTGTGTGTATGAGGTTGTTTTTGGATCACATTAGCAAGTGGCTGGACAGAGTAGGAGGGGCGGGTCACCATATAACAGTTATATGAATGTGTTAGTGCAAATATTACCATTCTAATACAATACGGTTCCAATACTTGATTCACAGATTTAAAAAAAAACATTTCCTGGAAAGTCTCAAATCTCTAATTTCTTCTAATGTTCAAGGACAGTGCAAACTTTTTCATACTGGATAAATTATGGAAATTACTTTTAGATGTTTTGAGTGACATCTGTCGCCCTTCTTCAGCATCACTAGTGTACTAGAATATATTGTTTACCTGGATGTCTAACCTACATCAACACTCTGATTTCTTGTTTAAAGTTAAAACTTTTGGTCCAACACAAAAAATTCTCTCACCTAGAGTGTCTGGTCGAAAGCTCTAGGTGAGAGAATTTTTTGTGATGGACCAAAAGTTTTAACTTTAAACATGTAACTACCAACACGGATGAACTTTCATGACTCTCATTTCTTGTTTCGTTTGTGTTATTTTTGATTAGATGATGCCGTCTGCCGAAGAGAGCATCGCCAAGAGCCGCCAGTTTCTTGATGACGTGCTCAGGACCATCTCCACCATGTCCACCTACCTCCCCGCGGCCAAGAAGCTCGGCCAGTTCTTCACTGAACTCCTGCCATCATTCGAAGAAGTTCTCGCTCGCACGGCAAAACAAATCAGAAAGAAGGGAGAAGTCGAAAAGGCGTACAGAGATTTTCCCTTCAGGGCGCTCCATAATATACTCGTGGCGGCGACACGAAAAGACGTCCTGCAGCCATTTTGCCGTTCTAAATGTTATGACTTGCTTCTGGACACGTTGCACGGAACGAATCCCGTGACGTTGTACTACACTTACAGAATCCTTCACTACACAGTAGAGATGGGCAGCGACAAGGAAAAGAACACGTTTAAGGAAAAAGGGACGGATTCAAACTACTTCGAGATGAACGCAAGACTGTTAAGGGGTTCCGACGATGTGGGGGAAGCGCGACGGTTGCTCTTCATCGCCGAACTGCTCAAGGTTGAAATAAAAAAACCAGGGCATCCCTCGGAGTACTTCAAGTTTCTTCCCAAACCAAAGAGACTGATAACAGAAGGGCCACACGTGGAACAAGGCCTGGTGTGTCACATAGCGGCCGTGCCTGTGATATGCTCTCGGATGGACTGTAGAAAAACAGATAGCGATTCGGGGAAGCCACTGAAAGCCTGTGCCAGGTGCCTGTTGGCTCGGTACTGTAGTGTGGAATGTCAGACGCTACACTGGAAGAATGGGCATAAAGAAGAGTGCTTCACAAAGGAAGATCTGCTGAAGAAAGTCTCCTAAGATTTCACAAAATTAGTTTCAAAGCATAATTTTTTGGAGGCTGCAAGACAGTATGAAATTGAGAACACAGTATCAAATTGGCAGAGCAGTATCCTATATGCCACCATAGTTTGGCTGGCAAAAAAAAAAAAGATACGGAAAAAAAAGTCAGAAAGCCAGAAAGATACAAGAAAAAAATCAGAAAGCCAGAAAAAAACACATCAAAAATAATCTGAGGTCTAAACCTCTGTTGGGACAGTATAAGAAATGTTATAATTTGCCCAGTTCCAGTCTTGTTTTATGCTGATAAATTTTAAAAAACTTAACTTTTTGTTGTTTTTTTGTTTATTTCCAAGCTTATGTCCAAAGGCTAATTGCAAAGTAACACACAGACTGTAAAGAGGTGAAAAGGAAAAAAAAAAATTCTGTAGATGAATTTTAGATAAATTTTAAATATATGATCATGAACAAATACATGACATACCACTGACTCCAGCAAGCAATGGTAGTGTGGTCTTCAAATATTTGATGTTCCAATGTTGGTCCTGTGATTTAATGTATCACAAATGTAATGTTATGTATTTTACAATTATGTGCAATTTACCTTCAAATTACTTTTGTCAATCACAAATATTCTGTACATGTGATTTACCTGTTAGGCCACACCAATTAAATTTCTTGGTTAATGGATTTTTTAGAAAAATAATGGAGCAGGCGGGCAAAAAAATAGGAGCCATGAAATCAACACACCAGGCTGGTTCAAAATTTAAACAATGAATTTTGAAGTTTTAATGATACCGCTGCAATGAAAGATGGAATAACTGTAACAACTAGGAAGAAAAGGACTGATTTCAACTCTTCAGGGCAAAATATGAGCATTTTGCAGTTGATTATGAATTTTTTTTTTTTTGCAAATCAGAAAAATATGAAGCGGGCGAATCCGTTAACCAAGGAATTAAATTGGTGTGGCCTTATAGAAAAAAAAGAGGTTGAGGTACAATGTAGGTAGGTAGAAAAAAAACAGTAAAACAGTATGATATTTTATATTACATTATGTACTTGTTCCCATTACTGTACACAGTAAAATAAAAGCAAGGCCCTCCTTGGTACAAGCTTGGTGATGTTGAATCTGAGTTGTATGTAACGTTATCATTGATCAAAAACTGTATTTTTGAAATTAAAATGGTACCAACACATTTCAAATTTTATCTTGAGTACACCTACTTACAGATTGCTCATTTTTGCTTTATATATTTTGCTATATCATATACATGTATGACCTTGAGCCTTCATTTTACGTATCAAATTACACTGACTACTGAGGGACATATCACATACAAGACATACAATCAAGCTCTGCAAGTGATCTTTAAAAACGTCCAATGGAAAAAGCCCCTATAAACATTTTTGTGACACAACTAGCTCATCTTAGAATGCAGCTAATTTATAACTTTCCCCATCAATTATCACCTAATTACATCAATAGTGAAAGTTTATTGCAAATTCTTGCCCGGGGGCTAATTGCAAATTACAAAACATAAAAGAACAATGGAGTAGGGTATAAAATAACTAAAGTCTACATGAAACGTTAGTTGTCTAGAACTATAACTATGTCTAAAACTATATCTGAAGGGTTTGACTTCTCTTCTGTAAACCATGGAAGACGTAATGTCCCACCTTTTCCAAAATTTGTGGGTTTTGGGAAGTTAAAAGAAGAATAGTTTTTTCTTGGTCTGTAAGTTTAGAGAAATTGGGATAAATTGTAGAAGTTTGAAAAGTCAATTCATTTCGAGCGTCGTTATGGAATGAACAGTTTGAAATAAAATGTATTTCGTCTTCCACAGCCTTTGCACTACAATATTTACAAATTCTTTCACATACAGGTAGTCTTCTATACCGGCCTCTCTCTATTTCCAGAGGATGGGCGCTAACTCTAATTTTACTAATGGCTGAGCGTAGTTCGAAATCTGCGATATCGAGATATCGTTCTATGTTGTACATAGTTTTACATTTTGCATAAAATCTTAACTTACCACTATCAGTTGACAAAGTATGAAAAAATGATCAAATTATCAATAATCGCGTAAGGCATCTACACCAAAAATCACGACAATCTGTCAGATACGCCCCCTAGGAAGTTCTGCTGCAGTAATAGAGAAGGACGCTAGGGGGTCTATAATCGAACTGCCACCCCCTCCATTCGTCATATAATCGTAATGTTTTAGTTTCACTGGAATAGAGATGAGTCAAATGATTATTCACACCGATAAGCAAAGAAATGGACAAACTTAACATGATCATACTGGAAGGCCGATATAAATTGGGTTTTCTAGGACTACTTTGTGTGGGCGCATCACCGCTAGTCGTCACCTCCACCATGCGCATGAATACTGGTTATGTTAGTCACATGAGATCATGTGACCCATATGACGTAACCAAGAAGTCGGACGAGAAGTAGACGAAACTGAGAAAAAGAGGAACAGTTCCTTTTCAAATTACTGCGTTTTTAACACGATTTCTTACCAGTTTTGTCCGACCAGGAGGTAGTTAAGGATTTGTTTTAAGGAAGGAGGCGAGGATTTGGTCAGAATGCAGGCGAAAGAAGGGATGAAACGTGGCGAATTTCGCTGCTGTTGCGGGTGCTTGCATGTCCGGGCAGGGGCCATCATGATCGGCCTCCTACACCTGGTGAGTTGTACTTCTTTTCCATATTTTTCTGCGATTTTTCACGGCTAAAACCCTATATTTTCAGCGAAAATAACTCTTTAGTATGTTCAAGATCGATTTTCGTGTGTGTGTGGAGATGTCATGATGTGAATCTAAGTAAATGTTAGACTGTTTTCTGACAATGCAGTGATATATATTTTTGTCAAGCTTGTGAAAAACAAAGATGGCGGAGTTTTGACAGGAATCATCAGAAAATCTGCGGAAGTAGCAGCAAAATATTTATATTATGACAAATTTTATGGTTGAGGAAGTAAAACAGAGGCTCAACAACACGGAAATTTTACAAACAATTTGAGATTGAAGTTATATTATAGATAATGCACTTAATGTACGTGACTTTTAATATGTTTATTTTTGAAGACGTGTCTTTTGTGTCAGAGCTTTTGTTTCTTTGGGTACAGTCATCAAATTTCTTAATATCAGGAAGTGATGTCATTTGGAGGCAGGCTTTGATTTGTTGCTGTGAAAAAAAATTAGTAGAGATAGGAAAGTTTCATAAACATTCTATACCATCTTGTACTGTACAAGATTTGAAGGTTTGAAGCAGATATGGAAAAACCACTTGTTTTTCAAATGGTTGTCTTTACAGTGTACATTGTATTAGTAGGAACGAAAATGAAAATGAAACATGGACATACCAGAATAGAAAACACCTGTATGATGTTATCAAGAATTAACACAATTATTTGTTGTAATGTGTTGCAACTTGACAATTTTTTTTTCAATTAGCCGGCATTGGCTTTTCAAATAAGGGGCACGATAAACAATGGCGCCAATGGGAAACGGTTTGGGTTTTCACAATTATTTTCAATTAGCGGACTTTTTCTTATAAGCGTTTTGCAATTAACTGGCTTCCACTGTACTAGTATTTTTCTAATGTTCTTGTATGACATGTCCGGCTTTGAAAAGGTGGTGACACCTGTTATGCCATACCCTCCATTGTTCTGTTGAAGCCTTAAACTAAAGATAAATAAACAAACTATTTGTTATTTGTGTAGGGCACAGATATTTAATCTTGCTAGATGTAGCTTGTCGGCAGAATTTACTGTCTTTGCCTGCACAAAAACCGGATTTTTGCTGGATGTTTGGTCAACATTGCATCAGATTCAGAATTTGGCCCGTCGCAGATACCTTTTCTGACGTAACTGTGGACAGGATGTCATTGTTAATACCAAAAAGAGAAGTTCTGCTGAAGTGCTATGCACAATACGTAATGGTATAACCATTTCATGCAGGCATGTTTAGTACGTTCTGCCAGGGCTCTAGCACCATCCGTCATTTACCAGAACTTTGCAGCTTGTGATCCGTCAACCTTGAGTGACAGAGAAAATTAACAAAATCTTTGGTAAAAATATGAAAAAATCCGAAAGTTCCACAGACAACCACTCTTGACACCATGATTTGCCTCTAAAAATGCAAGAAATTGAGTTTTTGAAGGCTCGATAATCCCAAATTTCCTGGGGGAACATGCCCCCGACCCCCTATAGCTAGATTGCGAGGGCCAATGATAACCAGAGCTGACGGAAAAAAATTCAAGCTGGCTAGAGCCCTGCGTTCTGCTGATATGCTGTTACACGTAGCTGCAGTATTTTGTCCACCACACCTTTACTCACCTTGCATCACCTCATTCACCTGTGTACCTGTGCAGTTGTGTCACCTGATTGAGACATTCTGCCGAAGTGCTATGCACAATACATGTACATCACCAGTTTCGTACAGGCAACATGCTTCTACATGTAGTTGCAATATTTTGTCCACCACACCTGTATTCACCTTGCATCACCTGTGTACCTGTACAGGTGTGTCACCTGCTGGGGATGCTGGTGCTGGCCTACCTGATCACCCATCCGGAGGCCATGCCAAAGGGAGACACCTGGTACAGCCTCAACTACAACGGCAACGAAACTGCACGGGGCAGCGGTACGTATTATTATGTTTTTGTGGGGAGAACCTTTATAAATCTTGCAAAAAAATGAAAGTATCACTTTAGAACTAGAAATGTAACATTTGCGAAGCAAATGCATAATGTTCACCTTCGCATATGGTCTGCTCTGTTAATCTTTACTCAAACACATTCACATATATGACAGGAGCCTAAATCCCTCCTACTATAAAATTGCAACATTATGTAACCCAACACCAGTTACCATGGTGAGAGACAATCTGGTTCAATCAGGCCAGAGGTCACTGTTTGGAGAAGAAGAGGAGGAAATGTAGCAAAAACAATATGTTTTCCTTCGGTAAACATAATAAAGCTATAGCAAAGGCAAAACCTTAACTTCACAAAGTCTGTCCACCATTAAGCAAGAAATTGTGTCTTGGGTGGTTATGAGTTTCAAAAAAATTTTTTAAAGAATTTCCAGACCCTCTACTGTGGTCATGTTTTGGGGACTCGATGCATGACTTGCACCACGAAAGTTGCTCTTCTGTACCTGACCCCTATGCTTTGAAAAAATCCTGGTGAGAACCTTGGTAAATGTAAGGAGTTGGTAGTACTCTTTTGTGTGTTTATTTGTCATGACGTTGCTTTTTGTTTGTCTGTTTGTTTGTTTGCTATGGCCTAACCATCTTGTTAATTCTCATGTAAGTTGTAAGTACAAGGAATAAGGACATAGTAAGTCAAAATCTAAGATAACTTGGCAAGCAGACTGAGTATGATACAAATTCACTGAAAAAGTTTTGATGACATTTTAATTTTTTTTTTCATTTGTTTACCTAACTATACTTATAGTAACAATAACTTAAAAGGCAAAGTTTTGTTTTTCCCATGTACATGTAGCACCCCAGTGGTCCCCATATTACACAGTAATGGGAGGAGAATCAGAGGACAAAAATGGGGGTACTGTATCATGTGTATGACCTAATAAGAAGAGCATGGTGTCTTCCTCTGTATCTATTGTGTCTCTGTACCTACTGTATCTATGTGTACCACTGATTGTGTATCATAATTTGCATGAAGTCTTGTATCATTGCCTGTAAAGTAGAGGCAACTTGGGCAAACTTACCAGATTGCGTGACTTCCATGCAAAGTTGATACTGGATTTCTGTCTTAAGTTGGATGTACTACTTGTATCCCTGTATGATTGAGTAAAGTTGGCATGTTCTACTTCTCTTGTGTGACGCTTTGTCTTGAAACTGATACTGTGTTAATGGCTCGATGCACTTGACTTCAATTTCTACCCAAGCGAAGTCTCTTTTTTGGAGCCTGGAGTGGTTAGCTACATGCAAAGTTCCCGATGTGTGAACATTTTCACTTACTCTGGAATGCCTTGTACAGATGGACAGCTGCCGGTTTGCTGACAGGACTTTTTAGCATGTGTCATACATATGCATGGCATGAATATACAATTCACCAAGTTGCCCAAAGCTAACAGCTATTCTGTCTCCCCCCACAGATAACTGTGTGGCCCTGGCCATCACTTTCTTCACCTTTACCATGACTCTGCTCATGCTGTATGGTGCTATAAAGGTAAGGGAAAGAACCCAGTACACTTATCAACAACTAAATGCGCTAGCTTTATATATAGTAAAGTCGTGTTGAAATAGGTTCCATGTCACAAAAGAAGAACAAGGTTGATAAAAGCTGTAGGTAGATGTCTGTGCAAGCTAGTAAGAGGACTAAATGTAAGCTGTGGTTTCAGCAGTTTTCCTCCATGGAAAAAGGAAAGTTACTATTTTGGCGTTGTTTTTGTGTGTTTTTGTGTGTTTTTGTGTGTTTTTGTGTGTGTGTGTGTGTGTGTGTGTGTGTGTGTGTGTGTGTGTGTGTGTTTCCGCATATTTGTGATCAGCATACCTGCAGAAGGCCTGAATGGATCCTGATGATATTTGGTATGTAGGTAGGTCTTGGGACGAGCAATGGCACTGTAGTTTATGGGCCTCATTATGGCTTTCCTGGGTACTGCAGTAGAATGTTTTTGTGTCTTTTGTCTTGGACATGCTATGGCCTTTATTTTTTGGTGGTACAGATAGCTTTTCCCCTGGCAGCTTGTTCTGGAACTGCAGTGTGTGTGTGTATGTGTGTGTGTGTGAGAGAGAGAGAGAGAGAGAGAGAGTCACCAAGATAACTACATCAACTGGATGGATTTTTGTTTTATATCTTGTGACTTAAATGATGGGAATTTCATATTTTTTACATTATGTATTAAGGATGTAGTTAGTTAAAGGTGAACATCGCAATGCATAGATGAATTAAATTTGCAAAAGCTCTCAATATTTCATGGACATATATAAGGTTTAACTCTAGTTAATAGACGTGTGGTATAACCTGTTTCTGTTTCCTCCCCCCAGCACCGTGCAGGTTACCTGCTGCCGTTCTTCTGTATCCAAGTGTTTGACTTCACCGTCGGCTGCCTCACAGCCATAGGCTTCGTCTCCTACATGCCCAACATCAGGACCTTCATGGAACAAAACGTAAGGGTTTCATTTATTGTAAGGAGCCCAACTAAGAACTGAAGCTATCTGGGCGCTGCATACTTATTAGCTTTATCAGGACTTACAGCCATATGCCTTCATGGAGCAAAACGTAAGGCTTTCATTTAGTCCAGCTCAGACCTGAAGATATCCCGGGCCCTGCACACTTTTTTTAGCATTATATATCAGGACTTAAGTCCAACCTGCCCAAAAACTGCACTACTGGGGGGACCAGTAAACTATATAAGGTATAACTCTTGTTGAATTCTTGAACTCTAGTTAATAGACACAGCCGTACAGCCATGCCTCACAGCCATAGGTACATGCCCAACATCAGGACCTTCATGGAACAAAACATTCATTATGGGTTCACCACACCACGAAGTGGTGGTGAACCCATATTGCTTTTTCTGATGTTTCTTCTTCTCCTCCTCCTTCTCCTGCCATTTTTTAAATGGATTCAGCTTCTTCATTTTAGGGCCCAAGGTCCTGAAATTTGGTATGGAGGTACAGTGGGCAAATACCCCTAGGCATTTTTTAAATTATTGTGATACAGGCTTTTAGAATGGTTTTATTTGAGTTTTTTGGCTGTGTTATAGCAAATGTATTACTGTGTTAGTGTGCCTTGTTTACCACGTTTGGGCATGAGTCATCACAATGGAATGCAGGGCATCAACCAATAGGCATGCAGCTTTCCTCTATACTTCTTGCTGATTGGCTGTTGGGATTTAACTTGATTAACACCCGCACAGAGCATTTCCACCTGCACAGAGCATTTCTTGCTGATTGGCTGTTGGGATTTAACTTGATTAACACCTGCACAGAGCATTTCCACCTGCACAGAGCATTTCTTGCTGATTGGCTGTTGGGATTTAACTTGATTAACACCTGCACAGAGCATTCCCATACTGACAGTATGTCTTTATTCAAGTCTTTTGGTAGGTATTTCAAGCTTTCCTGCTCCAGCATTGGAATGCGGGGCATGGACGTTTTTTTTTATTTAGAAAATCAACAGTTTGCATTATGCAATTAAAAATCCTAACCAATAAAGTTGGGAATAGCTATCCAACTGTTGTTTTAGTTGTATTTTACTTCATATTATAGTTATATCAATGTAAATCATTGTTTTCCTTGTGTTTCTCATTCTTTCCCTGCCATGTCGTAAAATGTGGTGAACCCATCGCTGTATTTGCTCCAAAGCATAGCTATATGGGTTTCTGCTCATTTTTTTAGCATTAGCAGGACGACTTACAGCCAAACCTGCCCAAAAAGTCCACTTGGGACCAATAAAATCCAGTCTATGTGGACAGGTGGTCACTATAGACACTTGTGTCAATGGGAAACATTTAAGGGATGACAAAAAATGGAGAGAAAAAATGGTCACAATGACCAGTGGGTTCTTACAATGTATGTACAGGCTTGACAGCATTTCATATTGTTATTTTTTTCCATAATAACCCAAAACACTGCATTCCCACCTTGAACTTGTTGTTTGGTGAAGTTCGTTTTGAGAAGTTAATGCGATGTTTTCTGGTCCTCGCAGCCCAACTTGCCGTACCGTGAAGAACTGATGAAGATGGACCCCCAGTACCTGCTGCTGATCTGCATGGCTATCTTCTTCCTGGTCATGATCATCAAGGTAAGGCTTTTACAGGAAAAAATTACCTCGTGCCTTTTACATGTAGCGTCAGTGGTGTAATGGTTAAAGCGTTTGGGA